TTGTATCCCTTTAATATTACGTTACATAACATTTTAAAATATGAAGTGAGAAAGAAGAAAGGTGAGGGTAAATAGAGAGATGGAGTGGAAATGAGGGTTGCCAAGCGCTCCTCAACAGCTGATATTTAACTCATTACCATGCAGTTACACACATGCCGATGTGTCATACAATGAGAGCTTCACTCCTTATGCTTGCTGTATTAATTTCCTTGCTGGGGGTGTGTGAGTGGTGTTGGAAAGTGTGTGTGTGTGTGTTGGGGTGTGTCTGGTTGTTGGAGGGTTGTGTGTGGGTGGTTGTTGGAGAGTTAAGTGTGGGTGGTTGTTGGAGGGTGTGTTTATGTGTGATGTGTGGGTGGTGTTGGTGTGTGTTGACAGAGGCGAACATTTTTGGGGGTAGGGTCGCGTGGTTAGTCCCCCTCCCCCCTCCTTCCTCACTCAAGGGTGGCTAATTAGGACAGGGAGATGAATTTGATGCTATAATGATCCTTAATAAATTCTCTAAAAAAATTTTCCAATAAGATAACCTTAAACAAAATATTTCTATATGATATAGTGATGGAATTCCATTCTTTTTATAAAAAAAAAGTAAGAAATATTGATACCGGAGTCAGTAAAATCAGTTCTAATTTTGTCAGACACATCACTTATTTATAAAAATAATCCTGAATAATTTATCTAAACGTTTGGTTTAATAAATATATTAAAAAACAAAAGCTCTATACAGGGTATGATACGGGCATGAATAGAGCTGTGTTAGTTTTATCTTCTTCGTCTCTGATCGGCTTATTAGTTGCTTGGGCGATCGGTCACGTCTGTCTTCTTTAGCCTAGAATAGGCAGACACTTCACTCAGTTGACTGTAACACATAACTAATCATGTTTAACACTTGTGATGAAGGTTGGGTGGGAGATTATTGGGTAGGGTACGATTCAGCGCCGCCAATTCAGCGCCGCCGTTTCAGCGCCAGCCCATTTCAGCGCCAGACTATTCAGCGCCACCGTTTCAGCGCCACCAAATCAATAATTTCTTCAAAGAATCATACATATTTATTGGATTGGTTGATTTAACCTAACCTAACCTAACCAAATATTGATAAGTTGAATACAACATAATATAAATCAAGTGTAGTATACAGTGTTATACCACGTTAATGAAAGATAGCTTCTGAGTTGAACGGAACGCACAGGCGCTGAAAGGTCTCGGCGCTGAATAGTCTGGCGCTGAAATGGGCTGGCGCTGAAACGGCGGCGCTGAAACGGCGGCACTGAATTGGCGGCGCTGAATTGGCAGCGCTGAACTGGGCCATCCCCCACATTACTAACCTGACCTGATGCAATGTCAGGTCACCCATTGTTGGGTGGGGGATTACCGTAGTGGGTCTTATGACCTGAAGATGTCTTGAATGACATTTTTTACCTATGAGGTATATACATAGTACTATACTGTATAGTATATGAAGGGTACAGGTATTAATAAGCACAGATTATTACAGTAACGTATCTTTACTAATTAATGAAAAACAAATAAACAATGTTGTATCATGCAGTATACATGTAGTTGACAAATAGTGAGGTAGTTTTTTTGTAGTATTACTGTATGTTAAAACAAACACTCATAAATTAACACAGTTAAAATTATGGGTCATGATATGGTATGTTTACTAGCGATCAGCTGATGTGAGAGGGTGGTCGCACTGATGCCACTCACCACCCGCCTGACTCATCCAGCACTCACTTTTCTCTCAACTTATTTTTTAATTACTTTATGCAATCAAAAATAGATTTTTACTCAACTTTAGTTAGGCAATTCATCCTCTGAAGATGCAGAGCCCAACTCGACCAGCTCATCATCCACATCACTGTCTAGTATTGTGGCTGTGGACTCATCTGACACACGGGAAACACCATTTCCACGCTGCAGTGCTTCCAGCACCTTGTTTTTATGCTCCAGTGTAATTGCTTGCCTTGATTTCTTGGCCTTTGGAGTAGTTTATGATGTAGTAGCTGGCCTCTTGGACATAGTGGCGATGGTTGATGCACCGTGGTAGAAGGAGATAGTGTCACACATTATGTTCGTTCACTTGAGCATCAGTGTGAGAACTGAGGATGCATGAGGGTGTTGGTCAGCCATGTAGCGTGCCCAGAGACGCATCTGGTGGGAAACATTAGGCACAAAATTGGAAAAATTAGCTTTAAATTAAAACATTGTCCTTAATTGTCACTTTAAATCAATAATATGAAATTGAATTGCTTTAAATTGAAGTTCTACTGTAATAGTAATAACAATAATAATAATAATAATAATAATAATAATAATAATAATTATAATAGTCATAAATAAATACAAAAATTAAAACAAATCAACAGTGAGAAATGATATACCAGTATGTTTGTTGTGTTATCAAAGTAAGAGAAACAATTGAGACGGACCTGAGTCCGTAATGTGTGAACCTAGCCCGAACGAGTCAGAGTGGCCGTTAAACCTGAGGTCTGTTATATCAAGGGTTTACTGTACATAAGAAATACCACCTTCTATATATCTGTAATTTCCTATACAGGTATCCCCTATTTACAATGGGATTAGTTTCCTGGTAGCCCCATTGCAGGTCAAGATATCATCGACCGGGATTATTATAGCATAGGGTTCAATGGGATAGGTTCCTGGCCATTCTCACAACCATGTGTATCACTGAAAAAAAAATAATCCTAGACCATTACTAGCACTACAACACAATTAAAGAACACTCACCAGAACATTATGAACAACTCTGGTCGTTCTCACATGTCTCCTTCGAGGCTATGTGGGCTTGAAGGTGGAATGGAGACATCAATCCGAGTCCCACACAGCCTCTGGGGAGTCTGAAGAGGCTAGAGACAGAGTGGGACTGGAGGTGTAACCTGGCCTTAAAGATCATGAAGCATTAGGGTGAGACTGGAGAAGTGTCAGATGAGGAGGGTGCTATATTGCTGGAGACCCCAGAAGTCGAGGGTTGTGGCTGTGGCTTGAAAAAGTAGGTGATTGAGTTCGGGCATGTCTCCTTTTTTTTGCAGGTACAGTTCCCTGTAGCACAGCATGTCATTCTCCACAAGTGCCCTCACAGAAGAACTCCTGTTGAAGTTTTGGTCATTCTCAGCCAGCAGATCCATGGCAGGGTTGTCGTCCTCACCTGCTGACTCCTCCACTGCCTGCTACTGTTTCTGGAGCAGCAGGTCCTCGTTGTTGAGCTCCTCAGAGTGACTCTCTAAGTAAGACCTCTGCCACATTCTCCTCATCAACCTCCTGAAAGCCGGCCTCCTTGGAGATGCTGGTGATGTTGCAATGTACAGCTACAACATCTATTAAGTCGCTAAAGTCTTTACATGCTCGGGTCATACTTTCCTCCTCATGCTATTCATGCAGCTCTGTTTGACCTACCACAACTTCTTGATGTTCTGTCTCGCGTGCTTGATGTTGTAGCTCTGCCTGAATTCTTTGACGGTCGGCTTTCCTTCTCCATCTGTCGCCACAAACAATTGTGTCATCAACCACCTCAAGTAGTAAGCCTTAATGGTGGCAATGCCCTGATCTAATGGCTGGATAAGTGAGGTGCTTGGAGAGGTAGCCAACCACATAAATCTATAACAACACCGGCGTGACCCAAGCCTTCTTGTTGGAGCGTCAGAGGACTGGGAAGTGCTCCTTAATAAAGCCCATAAGAACTCTAGGAATCTCCCCTCACCTGGGAGATGATCACTCCACAGCATAATGCTTGGAGAAGCACCACAAGAGAAGATGTAAATACTTTTGACTTAGCCCGACTGCATACTGAAGCAGACAAGCGCCAGCACCGGAAAGATGCTGCCGCGGCCTCTCCTGCACTGGATGTAGTCCTCCACATGTGCAACATCTGTGAATGGCCCTGCTGATTCCATATCGGCCTCTCGAGCCACCTCAGAGCTTACCAATGAAGGTGACATCCTTAATAACTCGATCATTGTATCACAGTCACTAAAGCAGAGAAAATACTTCGCAGTCATAGAACTGACTACATTTACTGTACCTGTATAGTACAGGTAATTTATACTTTGTAATTTCCCGTAACTGTAAGGGGAAACAAATTATGATACCGATTGTCGCTGCTCACCCCGTGTTCACAACGACAAAGGCATAGCACTTTTCACTCACAAAAAACATAGCAAAAATCACTTCACAGTCACCAAAGCAGAGTTCAAGGTGAACTTTAGTAATGTTCTCTCACGGTAAGGTAAAAAAAAATAAAAACATAGATAATTAACATCAATAATCACTAATATTCATTGAGCTAAAGCTGAAGCACCCATGTATTCAACAGGCAACAATGACTGGACAGTAGTGCAGCAGATGGCCATGTGGTGGCACTCGAGTAGATGACTCCACAGCTGACAAATACAGTTAGAGATACATTCCATATTCCGAGTTGGCAAGATGATGATTATTGTTAATGCGTGTTTGTTTACATTAAAAATATGGGAGTGGTCTCAATATGTCAGCATCGTTAATGCAAAATATCATAGATGGGGACATTGCAGATTGGGGGATACCTGTATCCGGGTTGAAGCTGGTCCCATGTACCGTTGCCTCAAAGAGGATGTCGGGAAACTGAGGGATGGTGGGGGGGGGGAGGGGTCTCTGCCACAGAGGTTAAATTGTGAGGGCTTCCCCACCACCATACTATTATGTTAAATATGTAGTCTTCCTCAATCCTGTTTTAATACCTCATTCTGGTTTTGAGCACATCTGTGAAGATGATCCTCAGTTCTACCTTGACCACAGCCTCTTAACTACAGCTAAACAATACAAATACTGTAGTGAAAATATATACTGTAGAGGATACTTCTTTTTTCTTTCATTTATAATTTCCAAATTTCAAACCCTCTTGAAAGACAACTACAGTATTGTACTTAATTTTTTGATGGTATTTAAAAATATATTCTTTGTTGACTTTGATGAAAAATTTGGTAAATTCAGTAAATCTCCCATAGGCAGCAAAAGCCTCCCTTGTGTCAACTGCACCAGTTGAACCGGCTCAAGATCTCAACACTCGTCTGAAGCAACTCATTAACTCGGCTAAATGTATGCTCTTTATGAAAGGATCACCAGTTGCCCCAAGATGTGGTAAGTCTTTATTATTTTCCTTTATGGGCATCTGTTATACAAAATTTTCTTAGTTTGAGATGGATGGTGTATTGTGGAGGAAACATGATTGGTATATCCCAAATGGATGAATAGATGAATGCATGCTGACATGTTAAGCAGTTATCTAAGAATGTAGAACCCCAATAAGCAGCTTTTCCAGAAAAATAGATTTCAGTATTATGGTAGTCCTACATTTATTCCAGATGATGGGCCTGTCCGAGATGTACAAAGAAGATATTATTGTTTCTTGGTGGAGAGTACAGTATTCTGGGCTGGATGCTCAGGGTAGTTCTTTCTTGGAGGTAGTCTCATTTTATTACGTATAATTAAACTTGTGCTGCTTATCTTTTCCCAGGGTTGGTTAGATCTGTACATGTTATATCATTTTAAATTATTATTGTGTGCTCTTGTATACTGTTTATGATTTATTAGCACTCCACAGGAGATCTGACATCTAGCTATAATAATGCATAAACTTTACAATTAAAGAAAATCTTACCTAATACAGTAAGTCCTCGTTTAACCTTGTCCATGACAACGTTGTTCTGTTATAACGTCACTACTCTATACAGTAGATACCCATGTTTCCGACCGACTCCTTATAACATTGTCACCCAACACGGACTACTTTGTATGGCGCATCACCCTTTCTCATCTTGACGTGCTACGCTCTATCGCAGAGCATTACAGCGTCCCCGGTCTTTGTTAGGTTTCCACAGCGTAAGTGTGTGTTTAATTGTTTTTGCTATAAATATTGTACTGTAATCATTCAAAATGGCTTCCAGGCGCCCATCAAGTGTCAGTGATGCTTGTATTGTGAAGAAGCAATGCAAGACCATTAGCCTTGCTACAAAAATGGAGGGGGAACCCCAGTCAGAGTGGGAAGGGGAGCCCCATCCAGTGTACAGGGGGTAAACAGAAAGGTTTTTATTTATTTCTTTATTATTATCTTCTTTCTATCTTATTAATATATATCTGTGTAAGAGAGGAGTTATTTTCTTTTTATATATATAATTTCATATTTTCTGTTAACCTTTTCTTTTATTATACAGTGGTCTCTCGGTTAACGAACGCCTTGGTTAACAAAAAAAGATTTGATTAACGAAATCCTTACGAAAATCACATTTTGTTTTGAACATCAGCTGATAAGCTGAGGAGGTACTCAGCCAATTCAGTGATCTCTTCTATGTTTACATTCAAACTAATCACTATCTTATAAGAATTCCAGCAATACAAATTAAATTCACCCCAGTCACTTCTATTAAATTTTATAAGCAAAAAACAAAAACTCAGTCTAAAAGAAAAAAACAAACTAACAATTAAATACTTCACACCACAGGTGCCAACTGTCAAACATGTTACTGTCACCCCTCCCTCCTTCCCTCCTTCCCTCCTTCCCTCCCCCCTCCCTCCTTCCCTCCCTCCCTCCCTCCCTCCCTCCCTCCCTCCCTCCCCTCCTCCCTCCCTCCCTCCCTCCCTCCCTCCCTCCCTCCCTCCCTCCCTCCCTCCCTCCCTCCCCACCTTCCTGAGAAATGTTTGGGTAAAAAGACTAGGTTTACAGGTTTAAAAATATATAATACCTCAGACTAAAGTTAGTATAATATAATTTGCATTGCTGAAATCCTTGCAAGACAGGGGATGTTTTGAATATAAACTTTATATATTTTGCACAAAAGATAAAATTTTTGCTCTCACTAATAAAATTCTCAAATTAGATCTAAAAGTTGTCTCTAATGCAAATTTTAGCTTGTTTATATTCAAATTATTCACTATCTAAAAAGAATTCCAGCAATGTAAATTATATTCTGGCCAGGTAATTTCTATGAATCTTATGAGCTAAAAACAAATATCTTCAGTAATTAAACAAATTATACTTCATCAGACACTATCTGTCAATCAAAATACCCCACCTCCTGCTCCCCCTCTTCCCACGCTCGCTGGCTCTCTCTCTCTCCCCCCCCTCTGAGAAATGTTTGGGTGAAAACTAGGCTTTTACGTTTAGTAATAAAGAATACGTCAGACAATAGTGAGGATAATATTAATGACATTAATGGATTCCTTGTAAGACAGGGAATAATTTGAATATAAACATCATAAATTTTGCACAAATGGTAAAATTTTTACTCTAATAAAGTTCTTAAATTAGATCTAAAATTTGTATGTCTAATGGAAATTTTAGCTTGTTTATATTCAAATTAATCACTATCATTTAAGAATTCCAGCAATTTAAATTATATTCTGGCTTTACTTTGTATATACTTTTCTGTGAGCTGAAACCAATTACCCAATATCCCATTGAAACAATGGTTTCGGTTAACGAAATTTTCTGTTAACGAAAGACCTTCTGGAACGAATTGTGTTAGTTACTTGAGGGACCACTGTCTATTATTATAACTTCTATATTTTTCTAAGTTTTTATTTCAGTATGCTTATTGCTTCATTTCTATATTTTACTTTTTCTTACTTAGTGTTTATTTATTTCAATATTCTTTATCTTTCTATTCTATATCTTAATTATTGGTTTCAATGTCATTGCTATTTCTTATCTTTCCTCTGACTCTCAATATTTCTCATGGCTTAGTTATATTCTATTCAATGGATTAACCTGGGAAAACAACACCTATTATAATAATTATTATACTGTACTCACAAAGGTAGACTGCCACCACCCAGGCTTTTGTTAGAATATAACTTATATCATTAACAGTGTTAGGTAGCACGGTAGACTCGAGCTAGGCACGTGAGTTACAGTTTTTTCTGGGAAGCAATTATTAGAGGGGGGAGGAGCGGTAATACTCACAATTTACTAATAAAGTATTTTATTTATTTATATATATTTTTTTTACGGGGATTAGCCCACCCGGGCACGAGAGAAAAACATAGACTCCCCCTATATGACAGATAAATAAATACCACTGGTAACCCTTGTCTGGCTCAGGCCCAGCTGTCATAATAAATCAACTCCCCTCTGACTTCCTGTAAGAGTGACTGTGGTTTTTAGGCTTGAAGTTTTGATCTTATAAAATGTCTCAGACTAAAGTTAGCAGAATATAAATTGCATTGCTAGAATCCTTGTAAGACAGCTAATAATTTGAATATAAACTTCATATATTTTGCACAAGAAATATAAGTTAATCACTTGTATCACATTGCAGAAGTGATTTATGAGTTTTGGTGTATATATATATACAGTCGGCCCTTAACATACGTGGGGGTTAGGTAACAGAGATACCCGTGAATGTTAAAAATCCGTGTGCTTTTGCTGCCCCCCCCTAAAAAACCCCTGGGCCCCCATGTCCTTATTTACCGTATATACCTGTGTGTAGTTCGAGTTTTTAAGACCAAATTATTTTGCAAAAAATTGGGGGACCTCTAAAAGGGTAATAGTTTCGTTAGGTTGAAAAATATTTACCAGTAACTACCAGTAAACAATGGAAACGATGCACCAACGCACCACCAGCTGTGAGTGTCGGTACAGTTGCCAGGGCAGATCTCTTGTCATCATAGCAAGCCCAAAGTAGCCAAATCCATGGTATGGTAGCACAGGACGATGTAAAACATAAAGTATTCATTTATTAAAGTTTATTTATAGATACTGGACATAAATTTTTGTTCATTACATTTGAAACATCAATCTTTGTTAATTAAATTTGAAACAAAAGAAAACTACGATACCGTATTTTCATTAAAATATTACATCACAAGTATATTTTACCTTAACTGTGACTGAATGAATATACGTATTCTCAGAAATAAATATAGAAATGTAATATTTTTGCTGGAATGACGAACATATTACAGTGGAAAGTGAGATAAAATTATGACGAAAACAATGACTTTTGCTTTCTTTCGTTATTCAAAAGATTTTACTGTAATCGCTTTTCGAATGGTTTTCAGTTAAAAAACTGTTGTACTCGTACTGTATTACAATAATATTCTATCCTATCATTAGCCTTATAATCCCACAACTGAAAACCATTCGAAAAGCGATTACGGTAACATTTTTTGAACGAAAGAAAGCGAGTCATTGCTTTCGTCACTTTCTACTGTAATACGTACATCATTTCAGCAAAAATATTACATTTCCATGTTCTCAGAAATAAATGGTAGTTTTGTTGAAACGTAATGTACAGTATTTAATATTAAAATGCAAAAATAGCTATAAAAACAATTAATACACCCGTAATGTACTGGCTGGCATCTCGTTCCTGCTCCCGTGTCCAAGGTTACCACTCCTCCCAACTCGCTCCCTCCTCCGCCTCCTCCGCCTCCTCCACCTCCTCACCGTCACTACTGCCGACAACAAACACAAATGTTTTGTGAATAACTGCACCTCCACTTCCTATGTACAGTACTGAACTGTACTGTGCTGTGCATTTTTACAAACAATAAACATGGCAAGAAAAGCTATTAAAAAAAAAGAGATAAAAATTTCACTTTACTGTACAGTTCCTATCCTCGGCGACAGGATGGGGGTCATCGGGCTCATCGTCACTCAATTCCATAACGGGTGGTGAAGTGGGGGCGACGGTGGATTCAGCTGCTTGCTCACTGCCGCCAGTGATTGGTGTTAAATCTCTCCTTCGGCGATCAAAGAACATGGTGATGGGGAGTTGTCGTCTCTTTCATTCATTTCTTCCATGATGTTTTTGTATGGAGCGAAAACGTCATCCATCCCTCGCATGAATTTCAGGGCACGCACCATGGAGGGGTCCATACTATAGGCCAGGTTTTTCAGTCCCTCAATATTCCTGGTCATCTCCCCCAACTTCTCCAACGTTATTTCTTGGTGCTCTTCCTCTTCCTCATCCTCTTTCCCTTTCGCTTCCTCTTCCTTGCCTGAGTCTACTAACTCCTGTAGATCCTCCTCGGTCAGCTCAGTTTTGTGCTCTTCAATTAGCTCCCTAATCTCGTCCTCTGCCATGTCCTGGAAGCCTTCAGCAGCCACTTTCCTTGACAGTGCCAGGGTCTTTCTGAAT